AACTGACTGGTGTTTCTCTCTCTCTCTCCCCCTTCCTCTCTCTAAACACATCCTCAGTAATGACAGAGAACAAAATTAATTCTACAATTTATGTTTACTAGACTGACAACTATTTGGAGAAATAATAGCCAAAATTTACAATGTTTGCTACTTAAAACTATTAGCTACATATTACAGAGGAATAAAAATAGCCTACATTTTAAAAAGTTTCAGTAGAGCAAACGTGTACTTTTGAAATATTATCTTTATCTTCTCTTTCATTACTAAAAATCCTCAGTCATATATTAATTGTCTACACCCTCAATTTAGTTTCCAAATTTAAAACGACATTTTTACAATCTTTCATGTGCATTAGAACATTAAAAAAAAAACAGCTAAGTAAGTGATAGATTTAGTAAGAAGTGGATTAGAGTCTCAGATGACAAAAAATGTGCACTTAAATATAAAAAAATAAAAATCCTGTAAAATTTTCATTTTAAAGATTTTACACATAAACATCATTTAATTCAGTCATTTAACAGAATATTGTCCCCAAAAAAGGTCACTTAAAAATAATATCTGCCCTGCAAAGGACAACAATCAATTTCTTCATGTTGATTAGTATAAGCACTTTCATTCTATGACAGCATGTTTTCCCACACATGCGTCCCATCCATAAATGTACATGCCTTTTAACTGCTTTTTAAAAAGGCAAGATTACTCCTTATTATCAAAGAAAACATTAAATATCTAAAATAAGATAAAACAGAAAATAGTTTTGTCACTACTGACTTGGTAAATTGAAATTAATCAAAAACAGAATGTGTGAAATTGAAATTATTAAAATTAAATTAAAATTATTATGCAACAAGTATCCAAATGATTACAAAGGACAGGAACTTATCAGGACATAGAGTAACTGCATAAAATTAGCGCACTTTAAAAGAAGTTGTTAAGCCCTGGCCGGTCTGGACCAGTGGTTAGAGTGTCCGCCCCGCAGACCAATGAGTCGCAGGTTTGATTCCAGTCAAGTGCACATACCTTGGTTGCAGTTCGTCCCTGGCCTTTGTTGGGTCGTGTGGGAGGCAACCAGTTGATGTATCTGTCTCACATCGATGTTTCTCTCTTTCTCTCCTTCCCTCTTTCTCCCTCCCACTCTATCTGATGATAAACAGGAAAATATCCTCTGGTGAGGATTAAAAAAAAAAATTTAAAAATAAGTTTCTTTTTCTTTTTTTAATCCTCACCTGAGGACATTTTTTCATTTATCTTCAGATAGAGCAGGAGAGAGGGAGGGAGGAAGAGAGAGAAACATCGATGTGAGAGAGACACATTGACTGGCTGCCACCCACATGACCCCAAGTGGGGTCGGGGACAAACTGCAACAGAGGTACATGCCCCGAGCGGGAACCGAACTTGGGTCTCTCTGATCCACAGGCCGACACTCTCACCGCTGAGCCAAACCGGCCAAGGCATAAGTTTCTTCTTTATATACAGAGTAGATTCAGCTGGTATTTGTTCAATGACTTATATTGTTTCAGTACAGATGGATAAAACATCTGTAAAACTAAAAACCATCATAAGTTTTCAACCTTCATTTGTAATCAATACAAAAGTACCTGGAGATACCTTCATCTTTAGAGCGGGAAATTTAGAGATATGGATTGAAGTACATATTTAATGTGGGAAGCTGGCATTTGAGAAAAAGGTAAAAAGTAGATTTCTTTATTAAAAACAAAAAAAGAATAACTTTAAACTCATAAAAGGGTATCTGTCTATAACAGGCTGAAAATGTTTGGGGCTAATAATGAATGAGCTGTTCAATCTGAATGAACTAGAAAGAACAATAGTAAGACATGATACTTTATAATGACTGATAACCTAAATTCCATAATGTACTGTGGATTATGCCCATGTACCCAGGCTATCAGCATTCTAAAGATATAACTATATGAATGACCACACAGAAATTATTTCAAATTAATAAGGATCCTAACTAGGGCTCTGGTTTCCTGCAGGTGACAAAGTAATAAGGGAAACAGGGTCATATAACAAATATTATACTTTGAGGAGTGTCCTTGCCCAAATTCCATACTTTGACAGTTCAGGTTAGACACAGATTATATAGTCTTTTAAGATAGCAAGAGATCCTGGAAATATCAGTCTTGTTAGATTCAAATAAAGAACCAACCCAATCAAAGCAAAGGAATTTGGTTATTTCCTATTTGATAGACTGTAGAAGGGTGAAAACCCCAGTAATCAGACATCCAACCATTATTAGGAGGAGCTAAGAGAAGAAACTTACTCTGTGCCCAGCCTTAGTGGAATGAAGAAGTTGATTGCAGACAGGGGGAATGAAAAAAAAGGGTGAAACATGACCAATGTTAAAAGAAAGCAACAAAAAGAAATAAACCAAAAAAAAAGAAAAAAAGAAAAAATTCATATCAAATGAATATGCAAATAATTGTTAATGATTTCTGAGTGTTATGAAAGAAAATGTTAAAAATCAGCTTTGCTCAAAATACCAAAGGAACCATTTGCTATCTTTTAAACGTGACACATACACACATGCACACATACTTGAAAAAAATTTTGCCTTGTCAATTTTTTCTTTTCCTAATCTTATTCTCCACATTGACTCTCATCCCTTTCATTTCCTGCTTGTTTCGAATTTTATAAGACAATTTGGAAAATTCACCATAGTTTTAATAAAAGCTAACATTTTCTAGATTCTTTGATCTAATTATTCCTTGAGTATATTGATTTTAATCCTGTATGTTAAAAAATTCCAGTTGTAAAATTATGTTGCACTTTGGTCAGACGATCTAACACAGCACTATGAATACATTATCAAGCGATAAGTCACCAACTAAAGATGCTGAAAACAAAAGCATCTCCAGATAAAAATGGACCCTCTCCACACCCGAATTTGCTGCCTGTAGACTCTTGCATACTACTACGTGTTCAATGTTTCTAGTCTCCTTTGCCAAACAAAATGCGTTTAATCGTAAAAGAACGAGCTAGTACTAAATTTTACCCGGTTCTTTCTATTTCACATGGAAAGTGATGCGCCAGGACAACTGCCCTCAAAAAGTGTTCACCTCTCAAAAAAACAAACAAACAAAAAAACTTAAGAAACATGTCAAGAAATGTTGTCTTCTCCCAGGAATCACTGTCTCAAAAATCACTGTAAAATGAATTGCTCTAAACTGGAGCCTGTTCAGAAGCAGACCACCAAGGGTGAGCGAGATGAAAGCTCTGGACGCTACACAGAGAGGCATATACCGCGAACCTTGGTCGCGTCTATGGGCCACCTGGAAAGCTCCGTTTGTCAGGGAACCGTGATCATCTTAACCGTGCCACGGCTCCCCACCAGAAAGCAAAGTTCCTTTAGGGTTGAACCTCATCAACACAAACATCGAGATGATCAGAGCTCCTTTCGAAACTGCTGCTAACTTGTCAGGGGGTCAGGGGCACCTATGGAAGCTGATACATAGCCAGGAGGCCTCCTCGCCAGCAGCAGCTCGGAGCGCTTCGGCCCTAAGGTCTTAGGGTAGCAGACCGATGGGCGGGAGAGGGTGGCGGGCCAGCCCGGCGGCAGGCTGGGGCAGTCTGATGAAGACTAAATTAAAGTAAAGCTCCCCGAACGACCTCATTGAGCACCGACAGTGGCCCTTCGCCCAGAGAAACGTGGCACGTTCTCAAAATTTCCTCGGCACCTTCGAGGAGTTTCCAGACCCGGAGGAACGCTGCCCCGCAAGGTCGCGCAGCCCGGCTATTCCCAGAGCCCAGAGGCGGGCGATGGCCGCTGCACGGTGCTGCAGGGACCGTCCTCGCCCCCTCTCCCCAGATGGCAAACCACGCCGGCTAAGGGACTCCGCTCGCTACTTCCCGCTTTGCACCCGGGAGGCCGGCTTTCACCAACCGGGGGTGGTAACCCGGACACCCCAGCCAGCGGGAGGTGCTTTCCGCGGGGAAGGAACAGGGAAACGGCTGCAGACCGAGGGGAGCCCTGCCCTTTCCTCGGGGACGGTCCAAGCACAGGCCCCAAGGCCTTTCCCGGCTCGGGCGTGTGGGTCTCGTGACAGGACTAGCAGATGAGAGGGCCCCCTTCCCCCTCGGACGTCCTCGGCCCCCGGGGCGCGGTCGCAAGGCCAGAACCGGCTGCACTCGAAGTGGCCGCTCCCTCACCTCCCTTGCCCTCCCCCTGGGCCTTCCAGGCCCGGCCTGGGCCGCGCCCACCCAGCCTTCCCGGATCGCCCCAACCCTCGCCCAGCGACTCCCAGCAGCTCCCTACGACGCAGCACCCCAGCCGACAGCCAGGCCTCGGTGGCCGCAGCTGCCATCCTCACCATCCTGTCACTGGGCTCCGCTCAGTCACCACAACCGCCGCCGCCCTCTTCCTCAGACTTCTCGGAGACCCGCCCACCTCGCCCACAACCAATGAAATAGAAAGTCCACAGGAGATCGCTCTACGGTGGCCCACACAGGCCCTTCCCCGGCGTAAAGCGAAGCTGCTTCCGGCGATAGAGTGGCAGTGGAGGGGAGGGGTGGGATCTCGAAGCTTCTAAAGGCGGCGCGGGCAGCATCCGGGAACCTGGGACGTCGAGTGGAGGCGCGCCTTGCCTCGCGGCTAGTCAGGGCCTTTAGTCATGCTGAAGTGCGGGATGAGCGGCGGTCAGGTTAAAGGTGGAGCTGCTGTTCTTCCCTTCCTGCGGAGAAAAAGGGAAAGCTTGAGGTCCACGGGGCGTTCCGCCATCGTCTTACTTCATCCCCTTTGTCTTTTTTATTGTTTTGGGTACTTGTCCCTAGCGGGGACCGAACCCGGGACTCTCTGGTCTGCAGGCCGTCGCTCCAACCGCTGAGCCGAACCGGCCAGGGCCATCCCTTTGCCTGGAGGCCTCGGGGCATTTTGCCCAGGGTATTACACTGTATTTCGTAAAGCAATGTGTAGTATCAGTCCATGAACACTTTTTATGAGTTGTGAATGCTGAAGCAGTCCTAGGCTTTGTTTTCATTGTTCGAGGGAAAGAGTTTCAGCAGCATTTTCTTTTTCTCGGTAGTATTTGGGAAAGCAATCCAGGCTCTATCACGAATCAGTGACGAGTTGTGGCTCGACCCCTCTGAAAAAGGTGTAAGTACGAAAGTGAACTCCCGGATCATCTCCTGCGACAAAAGTCTTTCTTTGTTTTTTCAAATGAGTGGTGCTTTTATTTTTTTAATTTTTTTTTTCTTTATTGATTTGAGAGAGAGGAAGGGAGAGAGAGAGAAACATCGATGAGAGAGAACATCGACGGGCCGCCTCCTGCAGGCCCCCCACTGGGGATGGGCCCGCAACCTGGGCATGCGCCCTGACCCCGAGTCGAACTGGCGACCTCTTGGTGCAGGGGTCAATGCTCAACCACTGAGCCACACCGGCTGGACTTTAAATATGTTTTTATTGACTTTATTAGAGAGAGAGGAAGGGAGAGAAACAATGATGTGAGAAAGAAACATCAATCGGCCGCCTCCTGCACGCCCCCCGCCAGAGAGTGAGCCTGCACCCTGGGCATGTGCCCTGACCGTGAATCGAACTAGCGACCTCTTGGTGCATGGGTCAATGCTCAACCACTGAGCCACACTAGCTGGACTTTAAATATGTTTTTATTGACTTTATTAGGGAGAGAGAGGAAGGGAGAGAGAGAGAGAAACAATGATGTGAGAAAGAAACATCAATCGGCGCCTCCTGCACGCCCCCCGCCAGAGATCGAGCCTGCACCCTGGGCATGTGCCCTGACCCCAAGTGGAACTGGCGACCTCTTGGTGCATGGGTCAGTGTTCAACCACTGAGCCACACCAGCTGGACTTTAAATATGTTTTTATTGACTTTATTAGAGAGAGAGGAAGGGAGAGAGAGAGAGAAACATTGATGTGAGAAAGAAACATCAATCAGCTGCCTCCTGCACGCCCCCCTCCAGAGAGCGAGCCTGCACCCTGGGCATGTGCCCTAACCCCGAATCGAACTGGGACCTCTCAGTCCATGGGACAACAAGGACAAAAGAAGTTTAACATTCCAGTCCAGATTGTATGTTAACTAGGAAATCCAGAAATTGTAATTATTCCTTTTCACTGTTCATCTTTATGGTACATATCTTAATATATTTAGAGCAGCAATTTTCAACCTTTTCGTCTCGTGGCATACATAAACTGATAACTAAAATTTCGCAGCGCACCAAAAAATATATTTTTTGCTGATCTGACAAAAAAAAATAGGTATAATTTTTATTCATTCACGTTAGACAGCTATTGCATTGGCAGTTGTCATATTTTTACTTGACGATCTAAGAGAAAAAAGGTCAGTGCCCCTGAATAAATAGGCAGGTATTGCATGTTTTAAAAATTCTTGTGGCACACTGTTTGAGAATTGCTGATTTGAAGCATAGTAAACTTTAACCTTGGCCCGTGTGACACAGTAAAGTGGCGACCTTCGAACCTAGGGATCTCGGGTTCAATTTCCCATCAAGGATATGTACCTAGGTTGCAGGTCCCAACCCCCAGCAGTCGGGCAGCCTGAGGCAAACAACTGATGTCTCTCTCATATTGATGTTTTTTTCTTTTCTCTCTCTCTCTCCCCCCACCCCCTCCCTCCCTCCCTTCCACTCTCTAAAAAAAAATCAATGGAAAAATATCCTCGGGTAAGGCAAAAAATAAAAATGAAACATAGTAAACTTTAAAATCACACAGACGGTGTGGCTCAGTGGTTGAGTGTTAACCCATGCACCAAGAGGTCACCGGTTCAATTCCCGGTCAGGGCACATGCCCAGGTGGTGGGCCAAACCCCCAGTGGGGGACATGCAGGAAAGCAGCCAATCGATGTTTCTATCTCTCTCCCTACTTTTCTCTCTAAAAATAAATAAAGAAAAAAAATCATGCAGATAAACACAGTTGATTTAAATCAGAAGTCACAAATTGGTGGTCAAGAGGCTAGATATGGCTTGCAGGATTGTTTTGTGGGGATTGCACTGTGGTTTTTAAAATATTGAAATCCTTTCTGACAGTAAAAATTGGGAGAGTCCACATAAAAATCTGAATTTCCTGCTTCTCTTGAAAACTCTGAAGATCTGACAGTTTGGGGCCTGTATTCTCAAGTGGAAATAGTTGGCTGATGCTGACTACCGTTTTCTCCCCTTAGACAAGACCAGAGATCACCATTCTGCTACGATCTCTTTTTACTCCCTTTTATATCGCCTTTTGCCACTTTGTGCATTAAAGTTAAGGCCCCTGTAGGCATTTGCAGTTTTACAATCTCAACATGTAAGATTTTAGATTTAATATCTATATGTATTCCATATAGATATGTACACATATGTATATGCATATGCAAATTCAGTATACACTGTATAAATGCAGTCCATATAATATACATTATAATTCATATGATAATGTAGCTTTATTGATAGACTTATTTGAACACAATTTAATTGCTAAATTAAAAAAAAATAGAATTTTTAAAATTAATCATTTAAAGAAATTCGATTTATTTTTAAATAGCTATTATTTTATTTTTTCAGCTTGCTTTAAGGTCTGTGAATTCTTGTCGGTCAGCATATGGATGTGTTCTCTTCTCTTCTGTGTTTTTCCATCATTATCAATGGTCATCCTCAGGGGAAATGAATGATAATGACACAAAATCAAATTTAAATTGCAAATTGGGAATGAAGGTAAATATAAGTGGCCCTGGTTTTCTCTTATATTGTGGAAATATTCTGTATGTAGGACATAACATCTGTTCTGTACTTAAATACTTGGTTTAAATGGCACACAGGACAAATCTATTCATTTATGAATATACATCTTTTTTTTAGTTTTTAAACTAATTAAACGACCATTTTGAGTATATGCTGTTCTATAATCTATTTGTATTACAGTCACTTCTGCCCATCTTTAGATGTCTGAATTCCCTCGAAAGAAATGTAGAGATGTGCAAAATATTAACCAGATCTGATAAGTGCAAAGTAGTCATTCAATTCTTCTGCAGACATGGTAGGTATAATTAAAACTACTTTAATGTATTGTGTGTTTTTTAAAATATTTTTCATATTTAGAATATTCATATGGCATGTCAAGAGTTCCTATTGCATTATTGCCTAGAATTTATGTAGTTTTGTGGTAGGACAGTTGTAAGTACCTGAAAAATATCTCTTACTTGTCTCTGTGTAAGTATTGTGAAACGATTGGTATTACTTCCTTTTTTTGCTTGTCAGTGACACAAGCTTTGCCTGCATATAAACCCATTTTTTTAATTAATTTATTTTTGTTACAGATGTTTCTCCTTCTTCCCCCCAGTGACACCCTCCTCCCCATCCCGTCCCCACCCCGTCCCCACCCCGTCCCTAGCTTTGTTGTCTATATCCAAAGCCTTCATTCATCGGTTATACATACATGCATATAAGTTCTGTGGTTTATCCCTTCCCTCTCCCCCTCCCCCTCTTCCAAGGATTGTCAGTCTGTACCCTACTTCTATGACTCTGGGTCTATTTTGTTCATCAGTTTGTTTAGTTCATTATATTCCAGAAATAAGTGAGATCATGTGATATTTGTCTTTCTCTGCTTGGCTTGTTTTGCTTAGGAAAATACTTTCCAGGTCCCTCCATGTCATCTGAAAGGATAAGAGATTTTTCTTTCTTACAACTGCATAGTACTCCATTGTGTATATGTACCACAGCTTTTTTATCCACTCGTCTGAGGATGGACACTTGGGCTGTTTCCAGATCTTAGCTATTGTAAATAGTGCTGCTATGAACATGGGGGTACATATATTCTTTCTGATTGGTGTTTCAGGCTTCTTAGGGTATATTCTTAGAAGTGGGATCACTGGGTCAAATGGAAGTTCAATTTTTAATTTTTTGAGGTAACACCATAGTGTTTTCCATAGTGGCTGCACCAGTCTGCATTCCCACCAGCAGTGTACTAGGGTCCCTTTTCTCCACACCCTAAAAATATGGAACTTTTTCACGAATTTGTGTGTCATCCTTGCACAGGGGCTATGCTAATCTTCTCTGTATCGTTCTAATTTTAGTATATGTGCTGCTGAAGCGAGCATCAAACCCATTTTTAATTTAAACAATGGGTTGTTCTCAAATTAATTGGCTGCTTGATATTCTGTAAGAGCGCCTTGGTTTGAGTGTTCTTTGGTAAAAACAGTAAAGAATAATTCCCTCTAGGCAGACAGTGTTATAACTGGGGCTGAGAGAAGCATGGCAACTGGCCCAAGGTCACAGAACCAGTAAGTCCACAGAGCCTGGATTTGAGACCTGCCCCACAATAGTAGGAGCCAAAACCTTCATTCATTGTCTCTGCCACACCAAGCTGTAAAACAGATTTTCTGCCTCTCAGCCTCACTTGGTCAATATTCAAATGTTGTACTCATAGGACTTTTACATGCCTAAATATGTATAGCTTGGTGATTAACAGCATGAGCTCTGGAGGCCATAAGGTCTAGGGTGGAATCCTTCTCTGCCCTTTCCTTGCTGAGACCTTGGGCAAATTATTTTATATTTCTTTGTCTCAGTTTCCCAAAATGTAAATTGGGGATAGTGTTAGTACCAGCCTTCTAGGGTTTTTGTGAAGATTCATTGAGTTTTAAGAAGTTGTAGTTCTCAGCTGTTTAAAAGAATGCCTGGGCCCTGGCCAATTTGGCTCAGCGGTTAGAGTGTCGGCCCACGGACCAGAGAGTTCTGGCTTCAGTTCCCACTAAGGGCATGACCTCGGTTGCAGTTTGTCCCTGGCCCCGGTTGGGGATGTGCAGGTGGCAACCATTCGATGTGTGTCTCTCTCTCACATCGATGTTTCTCTCTCTCTCTTCCTCCTTTTCTCCCTCCTGCTCTATCTGAAGATAAATGCAAAAGTGTTCTCAGGTGAGGATAAAAAAAAAAAAAAGACTGCCTGGCCCCTGGCCAGGTGGCTTAGTTGGTTAGTGTCGTCCCAATATGTCAAGGTTGTGGGCTGGATCCCCAGTCAAGGCACATACAAGAATCAACCAATAAATGCAATAAATGTATAAATAAGTGGAACAACAAATCGATGCTTCTCTCTTGCCCTCTCCTCTCCCCCTTCCTCTCTCTGTAAAATCAAGAATAATAATAGCCCAGCTGGTGTGGCTCAGTGGTTGAGCATCGACCTATGCACCAAGAGGTAGCAGGTTCAATCCCCGGTCAGGGCACATGCCCAGGTTGTGGGTCAAATCTCCAGTGGGGGGCATGCAGGAGGCCGCCAGTCAGTGTTCTCTCTCATCGATGTTTCTATCTTTCCCTCTCCCTTCCTCTCTCTAAAATCAATAAAGAAAAAAAAATTTTTTAAATAATAAAAAAAAAATCTGGCACATTCTCTGTTCTAGATATATTTATTATGATTGCTAGTATTTTATTTGAAGTTAGGGGGTAGAATAATTGTATGCTTTAAAAAATCTTGTACTTGTGATATTGGTCCAAATATGTTTTTGTAGTAAGTGCTCAGTAAATATTTAAGTTAATAAATGTTGTAAGTTGAGAAATATTGTCTCTAGTGAGACCTTTTTAAATATTTTTTTTAAATTGATTTCAGAGAGAGAAAGGGAGAGGGAGAGAGAGATAGAAACATCAATGAGAGAGAAACATCAGTTGTCTGCCTCCTACACACCCCCTACTAGGAAACAGGCCTGCAACCCTGGCGACCACCTGGTGCATGGGACAATGCTCAACCAACTGAACCACACTGGCCCAGCTAGTGAGACCTTTTGATTCACACTGCAACATTATTATGCTGTAGAAAGTTATAGCTCACCTGGATTTTGTAGCATGGGCTCTATATTCAAACTTGGATTCAAACTCAGCCCTGGCTGGTTTGGCTCAGCAGTTGGAGCGTTGGCCTGCGGACCAGAGAGTCCCGTGTTTGGTTCCCGCTAAGGGCATGTACCAAAAAACAAACAAACAAAAAAACCCTTAGATTCAAATTCTAACTATACAGTAAGTCCCCACTTAACATCATTGATAGGTGAAACAACGTATAACAAAACCAATTTTACCATAGAATAATTGATATAAACGATATCTAAGTTCCTACGTCATCGCTTCCACTTTATAATGAAATGACTGAATGAAACAACGTTCCAGGACCTGCTGTGATTGTTAAAAAAGTGTAGCCTTGAAAAGTCATTTAGCCCAGGCCGGTTTGGCTCAGCGGTTGGAGCATCGGCCTGCGGTACAGAGAAAAGTCATTTAGCCTCACTGAGCTATTGTTTCCTCTTCTGAGATTAAGTACCTACCCCGTAGGGGTATTGTGTAGATCGGAGGTAATGTATCCAAAATTTATACCACAGTTCCTGGCACATAGGGTCATATTCATTATTGCTACACTTCTTTCCTCCTTTTATCAGAAGAAAAGAATTCACAGGACAGACGTTCAGCTTTATATTCCAAAGGTCCCATTCAGAAATATCAGTCCTGGATGACAGATGCTGAAAGAGAATCACAGATATCTGAGCTGTAGTGGGCAGTCACTATTTTACACACAATTTAAGAAATTACCTGTATTTCAATAGCTTGGTCAGAGGATCTGTCATGCTGCCTGGTGACCACTAGGGGGCGGTAAACACACTCATTAAGGAATCGTGCTTCTCCACACTATGTGCACCTGCTACATATTAAATATAACTTTACTTGTATTGTTTTAATTTGACTGTGAAACTTAAAGACTTTTTAATCTGTTAATTTTGCACTTAAGATTAACAGGTTGCTTTATTCTTTTTAAGGTATTAAAAGGACTCATAATGTGTGTTTTCAAGAAAGTCAGCCTTTACAAGTTATTTTTGAAAAAAATATGTGTACTAATACATTAATGATTCAACCAAGGTAATGAGTTCTCTGTTGTTTATTTTTCTTTTTCTGAATATAGTACGGTTATAGAGTGAAGAATTAATGTCCTAGAGCTTTTAAATGGATTACATTTTTTAAAGCTACACTGGACGTGTAGAAATCACTACAGCATCAAGAGGAAACCTTGATAAAGATAATAGTAGATCAGCGCCCCAGTGGGGGGCATGCAGGAAGCAGCCAATCGATGTTTCCACCTCTCTCTCCTTCTCCCTTCCTCGCTCTAAAATCAATAAAGAGAAAATTTTTTTTTTAAAGATAATAATAGATCAGCAATTTTCAACCTTTTTCCTCTCATGGCTCACCTAAACTAATCACTAAAATTCTGTGGCACACCAAAAAATACATTTTTTGCTGATTTGACAAAAAAAGGTATAATTTTGATTCATTCACACCAGATGGTTACTGTTGTGTTGGCTGTTGTCATTTTTTAGATTTGACAGTCTAAAGGAAAAGAGGTCAGTGCCCCTGACTAGTCAGGTCAAGTATTGCCTGTTCTAAAAGTTCTGGTGACACACCGGTTGAAAATCACTGTAGTAGATCATAATCTGCCTAATGGGGGCAATAAAAATTTAGTGGCCATGAAAGTTCTTAAAATAGTCCATTGGTAGCTTTCTTCATCAAATGAAATCAAGAGAAAACTCTATTATCTAATAATAGTTTGCATTTAATGGTGCTCTCTGACTGAGTCTTAAAATACACAGAATAAGGAAATTTCAACATTTTTTTATATGAACTGATTTTATCCTTAAGTGTTTCCATGTTTTTCTCTAGAGAATGAGTCACTGAAAGGTACTCAATTTTTCAGTTAAGCAGTAACATTAAACATTAATTACTTTGTGAGCCCAAATATATTTTATCTTTATTTTTTAAAATATGTTTTTGTTGATTTTTTAGAGAGAGAGGAAGGGGGAGAGAGAGAGAGAGTGAAACAATGTGAGAGAGAAGCATCAATTGACTCTCCTGCACGCCCCCTACTGGGGATTGAACCTGCAACCCGGGCACATGCCCTGACCAGGAATGGAACCAGGACCTCCCAGTCCATGGAACAACACTCAATCCACTGAGCTACACCAGCTGGGCTGTCCTTGTTTTTAAATTACAAAAGAAATACATGCTCTCGAAATACATGTACAATTTATAGAAGATTTCAGATTAATAAATGAAAGTCTTTCTTCTACCTGCCCCCTATAACCCACTGGCAGGGGTAAGTATCTATTAATAATTTGGTGTATATCATTCTAGCTCCTCTTTTTATAGCTATTTTGTTAAATTTATAGCTAATCTCTCTGTAACTCTCCCTGTAATTATTGTGATCTTCTCTTTCTGCCACATTTCAGATTTATATCACATACTAGACAAGTCTTTATTATACATATATATATATTTTTTTTTTTTATCCTCACCCGAGGACATTTTTCCATTTTTTGTTCAGGTAGAGTGGGAGGGAGAGAGAGGAACAGAGAGAGAGAGAGAGAAAAATCGACGTGAAAGGAACACATCGAGTGGCTGCCACCCGCACAACCGACCAGGGCCGGGGACAAACTGCAACCGAGGTACGCGCCCTTAGCGGGAACCGAACCCGGGTCTCTCAGGACCGCAGGCCGACGCTCTAACCGCTGAACCAAACCGGTCAGGGCTATTATACATAGTTTTTTAAATAATATATATTATACATAGTTTTTTCAAAGAAAAGGTCTCACTATTATTATCATTTGGCAACTTGCTTTTTTTTTCTATGTCGGTTCACCTAAATCAATCTTATTCTTTTAAATAGTTGTATAATTTTTCATTGTATGATATGACTGAATGGTAATTTACCCATTACCCTGCTATAGTACCCCCACCCTGAGTTGATGCCTGAAACTGTGGATAGTACCGAACCCATATAGACTATGCTTTTTCCTATGCATACAGACCTGTGGTAAAGTTTAATTAGGCACAGTAAGAGATTAATAACAATAACTAATAATAAAATAGATCAATTGTAACAATATACTGTAATAAATGTTATGTAAATGTGGTCACTCGTTTCAGGGGCCCCCTTGCTCAGGTCTTTGCACAGGCTCAGTGCTTTCTGGTGCATTATGTTACCATGAGTCAGAACATGTCTTCTGCTCATGTTGTCCACTCACAAATTTAATACCTTTTCTATCTTTTTAAAAAAATTGTTTCTTTCTTCATTGATTTTTAGAGAGAGAGAAAGGGAGAGAGAGAGAGAAACATCGATGAGAGAGAACATCAATCGGCTGCCTCCTGCACGCCCCCCACTGGGGATTCGGCCCATAACCCAGGCATGTGCCCTGACTGGCAATTGAACCAGGACCTCTCAGTCCATGGGATGAAGCTCTATCTACTGAGCCACACTGGCTGGGTGAAAGACATTTTATTCTAGTGTTCGGTTTCTCCTGTAGCTTTCACATGTTTTACTAAGAATATTTTACTGTTCTCTTGACCTTTAAATGAAGTTATAGTTTTCAAATATACTAAAATATAGCAGCTCACTATGGAAGAAAGAAGATAAAGTCTTTTGGGTAAATTTTTATAAATCTAGGCCAACTAACCTATTTACTTCTAGATTAAAGAGTTGAGACCCTCCCTGGCCAGTTTGGCTCAGCGGCTAGAGCGTTGGCCTGCGGTCCGGAGAGACCCGGGTTCGGTTCCCGCTAAGGGCACGTACCTCGGTTGCAGTTTGTCCCCGGCCCTGGTTGGTCGTGCGGGTGGCAGCCACTCGATGTGTCCCTTCACGTCGATGTTTCTTCCTCTCTCTCCCTCCCACTCTATCTGTACAAAAAAATGGAAAAATATCCTCGGGTGAGGATAAAAAAAAAAAAAAAAAAGATTTGAGACCCATTAGAAAGCTGTTTCTTTCTGTTTGTTTTCAAATAATGTAATTTTTAAATTACATTTCACAGAGTGCTTGCTGAGGCCATGGTTCTTTTCACGTCTACTCAAGAGGAAGTCACTCTTGCTGTCACTCCACTGGAAGTTTGCATTAAGAGTTCTAATGAGGAATCGATGGGTAAGGGGCATATCTGTCATGGTGCTTTAATGTAATATCACTTCCTGGTTTTCTTGATTACTAACTATTCAGTAAATATTAGTGGATAATATTTACTTTTCTCTAAAAAGCCAGTAAGATGTGGAAAGATCATTAACATTTTTTAAGAGATTCAGGAAATTTACACAATTAGTAATTACAATACTTGGCTTTGAAATTCCAGTTGTTTTAAAATTAGGAGAACAGTTACTGAGAAGAATATTTTTAAAATTAAGATTTTAAAGTCTATTTCTCATCCTTTATCATACTTTGTATTTAGAAAAAGAAAAATAAAGAGGCCAGCAATCCAGTTGAGATATCTTTGACTACATAAGAAAATGTATATTTGAATTGGAAATGTAAGATATTCCAGATGGTAAATATATAGGACAGAAAATGTGAATACTTCTTACGTCAGCTCTTCCAAGAGTTATCTAAATGGATTGAGAAACGAAGGCACGGTTACATCAGGAGTTTTAGTATCAAGTTGATTGAGACTCTTCAATCTTGGATAATTTTTTGGTGATAGCAGTAAAAGAATACTTATACTGGCCAGTTTGGTTCAGTGGTTAGCGTGAAGGCCCGAAGACCAAAGGATCATGGTTTCAATTCCTGGTCAAGGGCACATGCCTGGGTTGCAGGTTCAATCCTTGGCCTCAGTTGGGGTCCTGTGGGAAACAACCAATCGATGTGTCTCTCTCACATCAATGTTTCTCTCTCTCTCTCCTTCCCTCCCACTCTAAAAAAAAAAAAATCAATGGAAAAATATGCTCAAGTAAGGATTAACAAAAAAGAAAGAAAGAATACAAAGGGAGGAACTGTATTATTTTAAAACGAAACAGCGGTAGAACCAGGGATTTAGTTGGGTCACATGACTTTTGTAGTGTTTAGTTTGTGCCAGGTTCTGTTCTAAATGATTTTCATTTCTTTTCTTTTTATTTTTTAATCTTTATTGTTGAATGTATTACAGATGTTCCTCATTTTTCCCCCATTGACCCCCTCCTCCCCACTCCCGCCCCCCTTCCACCTTTTCCTACACTATTGTCTGTGTCCATTGGTTATGCATATAAGTTCTTTGGTTTATTTCTTCCCACGCCCCCAACCCCTTTCCCTTTGAGGTTTGTCAGTTTAACAATGAATTTGTACTTCTTAATCCCCTCACCTTTTTCACCCATTCCCCCAACCCCCCTCCCATCTGGCAACCAACAAAATGTTCCCTGTATCTATGAGAATGTTTCTGCTCTGCCTGTTCATTTTGTTTGTAGATTCCATGGTCGATAGATATGTATTCATTGCCATTTTGTTTGTTCATATATTTTATCTTTTTCTTCATTTCATATAATAACGGTTTGGTAGTGATGAACTCCTTTAACTTTTTCTTGTCTGGGAAACTCTTGATATGACCATTGATTCTAAATGACAGCTTTGCAGGATAGAGTAATCTTGGTTGTAGGTTCTTGCTTTTCATCACTCTGAATATTTCTTGCCACTCCCTTCTGGCCTGCAAAATTTCTTTTGAGAAATCAGCGGACAGCCTTATGGGAACTCCCTTGTAGGTAACTAGCTGCCTTTCTCTTGCTGCTTTTTAGATTCTCTCTTTGTCTTGAACCTTTTGCATTTTGATGAGATGTGTCTTGGTGTGTGCCTCTTGGGGTTCATCTCGTTTGGGACTCTCTGTGCTTCCTGGACTTGTATGTCTGTTTCCTTCACCAAGTTAGGAAAGTTTTCTGCCATTATTGTTTCAAACAGGTTTTCAATTTCTTGTTCTCTCTCTTCTCCTTCTGGCACCCCCAAGATGCGAATATTGGCACGCTTGAAGTTGTCCCAGAGGCTCCTTACACTATCCTCATTTTTTTGGATTCTTTTTTCTTTTGCTGTTCTGATTGGGCGTTTTTTGCTTCCTTATATTCTAAATCAATGGTTTGCTTCTTGGATTTACGTACTCTACTATTGAATCTGTGTAAATTATTCTTTATTTCAGTTAATGCCTCCTTCATTTCTGACCGTGCATCCATCATTTCCGACTGGTCCTTTTTTATGCTCTTGAGGCCCTCACTAAGTTCATTGAGCATCCTTATAAGCAGTATTTTGAACTCAGCATCTGTTAGGTTGCTTATCTCCATTTCGCTTAGTTCTTTTCTTGGGGTTTTGTTCTGTTCTTTCATTTGGGACCTGTTTCTTTGTCTTCTCATTTTGGCTGCCTCCCCATGTTTGTTTCAGTGTATTACTTAATGAGAGATATGGGGCTAGCTGAGACCAGATGCTGCTTGTTTGAAAGAATTTAGGAAAACCTGAAGCGGGATCCAAAACAGGCCAATCCTATGGTTAAGCAACTGGTAGCAGCTTGGGTGGGCCTGAAAGTTGGATGGGGCGGGGCCTCAGGGAGTCAACAGGGCGGGGCTACCAGTGTGAGCCAGGTTGCTGGAGTCCCAGATATGGCAGCTGTCTGCAGCCCCAGGGAAGGGCCCACCAAAGGAACAAAGGCCTCTGACAGCACTTTTGTCCCGGAGAAAGCCCCCTCTCCAGCCCTGGCTGCAGTGCCAAACAACTCAGTTCTTCCCTGTATGTCTCTGGTGCCCCTCGAGCTGCCTCCCCTCCAAGCTTAGAGGGAGAGAGTCCGATAAGTCCGTGTGCGGGCCCTTTAAGGAGCTGCCTGGGATTCCAGCCGCGTTAGCCTCCCTGAGCCTCAGTTCCCGCTGGTTTTCCAGCCAGAAGTGATGGGGATTCTCTTCCTGGCACTAGAACCCTGAGCAGGGCGCCTGGTGTGGGACAGGGATCCCTTAGTCCTCAGGGAGAACCTTCACAGCCGAGGTATCCTCCTGATCTTTATCCGCCACACGTGGGTGTGGGACCAGCCCGTCCCCTCCGCCCTCCTACCAGTCTCGATGTGGCTGCTGCTTTAATTCCATAGTTGTAGGACTTCCATTCAGCTTGATTTCAGGCGGTTTTGAGTGATGGTTGTTCTGTAGTTTAGTTGTAACTGTGATGTGGTTGTGGGAGGACACGATACTGCGTTTACCTACCTGCCATCCTGACCGGAAGTCTGGTTTTCATTCCTAAATTGATTTGATCTTCGTAACAACTCTGTGCTGTAGGTACTATTATGATCAGCTGCCTCCTGCACACCCACTACTGGGGATCGAGCCCAAAACCTGGGCGTGTGCCCTGCCTGGGAATCCAACCAGCAGCCCTGTTGGTGCACATGATGCTCAACCAACTATGCCACACTGGCCAGGACAAGAAAATAATTTTTATTTTTATTTATTTATTTATTTTTATTTTTTATTTTTCAGACACAGCAGGAGGGAGAGAGGGGAAGAGTGGAGGAGAGAGAGAGAAACATCGATGTGAGAGAGACACAACGACTGGTTGCCACCCACGTGACCCCAACTGGGGCCGGGGACAAACTGCAACCGAGGTACCTGCCCTTTGCGGGAACCAAACCCAGGACTCTCTGGTTCGCAGGTTGATGCTCTAACTGCTGAGCCAAACTGGCCAAGGCAAGAAAATAATTTTTTAAAAGCACTAATAAAAAAGTCACTTGAAAAAAAAAGTCACCTAAAATCCTACTATCCAGGGATGAGCACTTTTTTTTTTTTTTTTTTTGTTTTTTTTTTTTTATCCTCACCCGAGGATATTTTTCCATTTTTTGTACAGATAGAGTGGGAGGGAGAGAGAGAGAGAAACATCGATGTGAAGGGACACATCGAGTGGCTGCCACCCACACGACCAACCAGGGCCGGGGACAAACTGCAACCGAAGTACGTGCCCTTAGCGGGAACCGAACCCGGGTCTCTCCGGACCGCAGGCCAATGCTCTAACCGCTGAGCCAAACTGGCCAGGGCCAGGGATGAGCACTTTTAATACCTGCTTCTGTACTTCAGATCTAACAATAGGGGATTTGTTGAATGAAAGTAATGACACACTATGAAGCTATTAAAAGTAATCTTGCATGTGTGTATGTACACACTCGTTTCTCTCTGAGAGTGTATATCAAAGATATTTATTGAAGCTAATTTTGCAGTGGAAAACACCCAGATTCTGTGAGAGAGGATGTAGACATAGACCCCACCACTCAATGAAGGAATGTCAAAGAATGTATGGCTATGTTTAACCTACCACTTGATTATATTTTTATATTCAAAAATGTAAAATTTAAGAAATACCTCTGGAACTAATTTTATTCTTTATATTCCTATGATTTTGAACAGAGTTGAACAGTTCTGTATACAGTGAGATGTCTGTGGGTCCAGATGAATTTGACTTCTTTCAAATTGGAGTTGACACTGAAATAACATTTTGCTTTAAAGAATTGAAGGTAAAGAAAAATTTGTACCAAATTAAAATTTTCACTAGTAGTTTTTAAGAAAGATTTCACTTTTTTTTTTCTTCTTTTCTTTTCAGGGAATGCTGATATTTTCAGAAGCTATACATGCTCCTATATCCATTCATTTTGATTTTCCTGGGAAGTAGGTCCTTGGGAATTTTTCTGAGTTTATTTCTTTTTCTTTTATTATATATTAATAATAAAGACATTTGAATCACTTTGAAATTAATTCACACCTCAGGAATTCCTTAACCTTACTAGCAACACTTATCAAACTAAAATTTTGAAAGATGCCATAACATGGTTTTGTTTTTGTTTTTTTTAATATGTTTTTATTGATATTTTTTAGAGAGAGAGGAAGGGAGAGAGAGAGAGAAACATCGATGTGAGAGAGAAACATGGATTAGCCACCTTCTGCATGCCCCCTGCTGGGGATCAAGCTTGCAAGCCGGGCACATGTCCTGACTGGGAATTGAATCGGGACCTCTCAGTCCATGGGAGGATGGTCAATCCACTGAGCCACACCGGCTGGGCAACACGATATTTTTTAATTGGTAACTTTAAAAAATTTTATTTATTTTTTCTTTATTGATTTTTTTTTTTTTTTTTAGAGAGAGGAAGGGAGAGGGAAATAGATGGAAACAGCAATGAGAGAACCACTGGCCGCCTCCTGCACGCCCCTCACTGGGGACTGGGCCCACAACCTGGGCATGTGCCCTCGGACTGGGAATCGAACCAGCAACCTCTTGGTCATGGGTCAGTGCTCAACCACTGAACCACACCAGCTGGGTCGGATAGATGTTTTATAAAATTAGATCTGATGATCAGCTCTTAGGACTGTGTTAATTCGTGAGAAGACTAAAAGGACTTCCACTTTTACTGTTTCTTTTTACTCCTGAATTAAGTATCATTTTCTTATGTTTTCTCCATATCCATCAGAAAATGATTGTGATCTTTGCTCTGACTTTGCCTTTTTAGACCTATGGCTTTAAGTATTGATGATATGTTATTGGAAGCTAATTTTATTTTGGCTACATTAGCTGATGAGCCAAGTAGAGCATCTTCTCCCCAGTCATTGTGTCTTTCACAAAAACAAAAAAGGTAAGGCCATATTTTAACATCTTTCTTGGTTGGGAAAAAGCCATTGCAGTTTATTCTGAAATAATTCAGTGTTCATTCAGGAAACAATTGAGTAAAACATCAGGTCAGAAATTTTGCCGGAATCAGAAAGAGCTATAGTAAAACCTAACTGAAACATAGAACTATCATTAATCTCGCTCTAGATATTTGCTTTTTCTCTTCTGATCAGAATTTAACAAGATTCTCTAATTAATCTCTCTCTCTCTCTCTCTCTCTCTCTTTTTTTTTTTTTTTTTTTTTACCTAAAACTCATTTCCATTTGTAATAGTTGCTTTTTAGGAGTGATATAGTATTAAGGTTCACAGGAAAGTCTATTCATACCTAGAATTCTCTTTCTCAGACATAGGGACAGCCATTGTTTTTCTTTTGTTTCTTAATAACTCTCTTTGGTGGTAGTGGGGGTGCTTCAACTGTAAAAGTAACATAAAGTTACTATGGGAAATTTGGAAAATACAGAAAAGTACAAAGAAGAAAACGACATTGCCCACAGTGCACTACCTAGAGATAGCCACTGTCAATACCTGGTTTACCATGTTTCCTCTCAGACTTTATTAGGCATATACTTGTGTTTTTAAACAAGATTGAGATCATATAGCATGATTAGTTTTGTATCTTGTTCCCCCCCCAAATACTGTATTGTTAACATGTTCCAATATCAATGATTATGACTTGGAAATATGATTTTTAAGACTGTATAAATTTCATTATGCAGATGTCTAGTAATTTATTTGACTTTTTTTCTAACTTGGCCCTGTTATATCACAAGATTGTCTCATGCATACTAGGTTATTTACTGAAAAATTCAAATCTGTAGATAGAATTTCTTAATAATTATACATGTAAATGTTAACTTTGAAAACAGTTCCATATTATTTCAGTATATTCCCTGGTGTTAGCATTGTCATCCCATATTGTTTTATTAGTTATATAAAATATATATTTCAAAGTAAACAGTTCATTCATTTAATCCCTATTAATACCTCAGGTCAGATCTGGTATGTTCGAATTCAAAGGCTGGAACAAAAGATAGCAAGGCCACGGAGTGTATCTTGAGAAAAGTAGCGCCCAAAAGGCTTTATCCTGATGAGACTCTCACGAACATCTCTGCGCTGGAGAACTGTGGCGGTCCTGTAATGACAAGAGTGAATGGAGAGATTAGTGAAGTACCAGAAAGCAGCGTCAGCGACACGGAGGAAGAGCCAAGGTCTCCAGATCTCAGGAAGGTAAAAGAAAAATGGTGAGACAACCATATCTCAGTCAAGAATTCTCATCCTTGTCACCTTTGCAGCCTCTCTGCTCCAGCCCACCCTCGAGATCCTCAAAATTAATTTTCTTACTTTTTGACAGTGGAGAGGTGACCGTCTGAGATGGAGACAAGACTGATTTCTAGAATGTTAATACAAAATAGTTAAGTTGCTCATTAAGTAATTACCTTTTTGTAAAATTTCTTTTTCTTTATGCCTTCGCCTGAGTAATTTCTAACAAAGTATATTCAAATAAAGATTTGGCTTGCTTGTTTTAAAGAATAATTTATGATCGCTTATAGCATACTTATCTTTGAATACAAATAATATGCTAGTCATATAATTTGTTTTCTAAAATAAATGTTCTTCTAATTTTATTTTTCAAATGTGTTTGGAAAATGCTTTATTCATAGTTGTACAATATAAATTTTATCCCCAAAACATCACAGATTCCTTCATAGTAGAGTCACATATCAAAATATCAACATTTTATTAGATTGATGATAAGCTTTGCAGAATGCTAACATTAAACCCTATGAAATCTATTTTTTTAAAAAAACTTACCTTTATTGCTGAGTGTTCCTCCTTTTCCTCCTCCCTGCTCCTTCCTGCCCCTCTCCTGTCTTCCCCACACTATTGTCTATGTCTGTTGGTTATGCATATATGCATATAAGTTCTTTGGTTTATCTCTTCCCGCCCCCCCCCGCCCCACCCCACCCCCCCGCCTCCCCGCCTCCCCCCCCCACCCCGCCTCCTTCTCTTTGAGGTTTGTCAGTCTAAAAACCAATTTGTACTTCTTAATCCCTTCACCTTCTCCTCTTTCACCCATTCCCCCAACCCCTCTCCCATCTGGCAACCAACAAAAAATTTTCTGTATCTGTCTCTTTCTGTTCAGCTCGTTCATTTTGTTTGTAGATTCAGTTGTTGATAGATGTGTATTTATTGCCATTCTACTGTTCATATTTTCTATCTTTTTTTTCAAGAAGACCCTTCAACATTTCATATAATAATGGTTTGGTGGTGATGAACTCCTTTAACTTTTTCTTGTCTGGGAAACTCTTTATATGGCCATCGATTCTAATGATAGCTTTGCAGGATAGAGTAATGTTGGTTGTAGGTTCTTACTTTTCATCACTTTGAATATTTCTTGCCACTCCTTTCTGGCCTGCAAAGTTTCTTTTGAGAAGTCAGATGACAGTTTTATGGGAGCTCCCTTGTAGATAACTGCTTTTCTGTTGCTGCTTTTAAGATTCTCTCTTTGTCTTGAACCTTTTGCATTTTGATGATGATGTGTCTTGGTGTGGGCCTCTTGGAGTACATCTTGTTTGGCACTCTCTGTGCTTCCTGGACTTGTATGTCTGTTTCCTTCACCAAGTTAGGAAAGTTTTCTGCCATTATTGTTTCAAATAGGTTTTCAATTTCTTATTCTCTCTCTTCTTCTGACACTCACACGATGTGAATGTTGGCATGCTTGAAGTTGTCCCAGAGGCTCCTTACACTATCCTCATTTTTTTGTATTCTTTTTTCTTTTTGCTGTTCTGATTGGGTGTTTTTTGCTTCCTTAAATTCCAAATCAATGGTTTGCTTTTTTGGCTTTACCTACTCTACTATTGATTCCCTGTAAATTCTTCTTCTTCTTTTTTATTTAATCCTCATCCAAGGACATTCTTTTAATTTTTTGTTCAGATAGAGTGGGAGGGAGAGAGGGGAAGAGAGGGAGAGAGAAACATCCACATGAGAGGGACACATTGACTGGTTGCCTCCTGCACGACCCTAACCAGGACTGGTGACGAACCACAACCAAGGCACATGCCCGACTGGAATTGAACCCGTGACTCATTGGTCCGAGATCCAATGCTCTAACTACTTAGCAAACCGGCCAGGGCTGTAAATTATTCTTTATTTCAGTTAGTGCCTCCTTCATTTCTGACTGTGCAACCTTCATTTCTGACTGGTCCTTTTTTATGCTCTTGAGGCCCTCACTAAGTTCATTGAGCATCCTTATAACCAGTGTTTTGAACTCTGCATCTGTTAGATTGATTATCTCCATTTTGTTTAGTTCTTTTCCTGAAGTTTTGTTCTGTTCTTTCATTTGGGACATGTTTCTTTGTCTCCTCATTTTGGCGGCTTCCCTCTGTTTGTTTCTGTGTATTAGGTAGAGTTGCTACATCTCCTAGGCTTCCTAGGGTGGCCTATTGTCGGCCACCCTGATCACTCCAGCTGTGCCCTCATGTGGACTGTATACCCATCTGTTGTAATTGAGTCTTGATTGCTGTTGGCATGTCAATGGGAGGGATTTACTCAGGCTGATCAGGTGCAAGGACTGGCTGTGCCCACTGACCATGGACTACCTTGGAGGATCAGCTGTGCAGGGGCCCACCACACTGAGCAAGACTTACTTCATCAGGGCTCTGGTACCCACTGAATCCACTCCTTGAGTGTGTTGCTTGTAGAGGTGGTTGGGTGGTGGTGCTTTGACGTGGTCTGAAGCTGTCCACTGGGTGTGCTGGCTCTGGGGCAAGGTCAGCCACTGCCTGTGTTCTACCCGCAGCCACCAGGAATAAGCTACAAAGCGATCTGCAGGTGGCTGTTTCTTTCTTTCTTTTTTTTTCTTTTCAAATCTTTATTGTTGGATGTAAAATGTAATACAGATGTTCCACATTTTTCCCCCATTGACCCCCTCCTCCCCACTCCCGCCCCCCTCCCACCTTTTCCCACACCACTGACTGTGTCCATTGGTTATGCATATAAGTTCTTTGGTTTATTTCTTCCCATCCTCCCAACCCCTTTCCCTTTGAGGTTTGTCAGTCTAGCAATGAATTTGTGCTTCTTAATCCCTTCACCTTTTTCACCCATTCCCCCAACCCCCTTCCCAACTGGCAACCAACAAAATGTTCTCTGTATCTATGAGAATGTTTCTGTTCTTCCTGTTAATTTTGTTTGTAGATTCCATTGTTGATAGATATGTATTCATTGCCATTTTGTTTGTTCATACATTTTATCTTTTTCTTGAAAAAGACCCTTCATCATTTCATATAATAACGGTTTGGTAGTGATGAACTCCTTTAACTTTTTCTTGTCTGGGAAAGTTTTTATATGTCCATCAATTCTAAATGACAGCTTTGCAGGATAGAATAATTTTGGTTGTAGGTTCTTGGTTTTCATCACTCTGAATATTTCTTGCCACTCCCTTCTGGCCTGCAAAGTTTCTTTTGAGAAATCAGCTGACAGCCTAATGGGTACTCCCTTGTAGGTAACTAGCTGCCTTTCTCTTGCTGCTTTTAAGATTCTCTCTTTGTCTTGAACCTTTTGCATTTTGATGATGATGTGTCTTGGTGTGTGCCTCTTGGGGTTCATCTCGTTTGGGACTCTCTGTGCTTCCTGGACTTGTATGTCTGTTTCCTTCACCAAGTTAGAAAAGTTTTCTGCCATTATTGTTTCAAACAGGTTTTCGATTTCTTGTTCTCTCTCTTCTCCTTCTGGCACCCCCAAGATGCGAATGTTCGCACGCTTGAAGTTGTCCCAGAGGCTCCTTACACTATCCTCATTTTTTTGGATTCTTTTTTCTTTTTGGTGTTCTGATTGGGCATTTTTTTGCTTCCTTATATTCCAAATCGATGGTTTACTCCTTGGATTTACATACTCTATTATTGAAGCTGTGTAAATTATTCTTTATTTCAGTTAATGCCTCCTTTAATTCTAACTATGTATCCATGATTTCTAACTGGTCCTTTTTTATGCTCTTGAGGCCCTCCCTAAGTTCACTGAGGTTCTCACTAAGTTCATTGAGCATCCTTCTCTGGACCACAGGCCAACGCCTAACCGCTGAGCCAAACCGGCCAGGGCTGAGCATCCTTCTAAGCAGTATTTTGAACTCAGTATCCGTTAGGTTGCTTATCTCCCTTTCGCTTAGTTCTTTTATTGGGGTTTTGTTCTGTTCTTTCATTTGGGACTTGTTTCTTTGTATCCTCATTTTGGCTGCCTCCCTGTGTTTGTTTCTGTGTATTACTTAATGAGAGGTATGGGGCTCGCTGAGACCCGATGCTGCTCGTTTGAAAGAATTTAGGAAAAACCTGAAGCAGGATCCAAGACCGGCCAATCCTATGGTTAAGCAAGTGGCAACAGCTTGGGTGGGCTTGAAAGTTGGGTAGGGTGGGGCGGGGCCTCAGGGAGTCAACAGGGCGGGGCTACCAGTGTGAGCCAGGTTGCTGGAGTCCCAGATATGGCAGCTGTCTGCCGTCCCCGGGAAGGGCTCACCAAAGGAACAAAGGCCTCTTACAGCACGTTTGTCCCCGAGGAAGCCCTCTCTCCAGCCCTCGCTCCAGTGCCAAACAGCTCAGTTCTTCCCTGTATGTCTCTGGCGCCCCTCGAGCTGCCTCCCCTCTGAGCTTAGAGGGAGAGAGTCCGATAAGTCCGTGCGCGGGCCCTTTAAGGAGCTGCCTGGGGCTCCAGCCCCTCAGCCTCCCTGAGCCTCAGTTCCCGCTGGTTTTTCCAGCCAGAAGTGATGGGGATTCTCTTCCTGGCACTGGAACCCTGAACGGGGCACCTGGTGTGGGACGGGGACCCCTCAGTCCACAGGAAGGACCTTCCCAGCCGCGGCAGCCTCCTTATTTTTATCCGCCACGCTTGGGTGTGGGACCAGCCCGTCGCGCTGCCGCGCTGCCGCTGCCACCGCCGCCGCCGCCCCTCCTACCAGTCTGGATGTAGCTGCTTTTTTTTTTTTTAATTCCGTAGTTGTACGACTTCCATTCAGCTTGATTTTAGGCGGTTTTGAATGATGGTTGTTCTGTAGTTTAGTTGTAACTTTGATGTCGTTGTGGGAGGACGCGATACTGCGTTTACCTACGCCGCCATCTTGACCGGAAGTCCTGCAGATGGCTGTTTCTTGTGCTGGGCTTGGAGGTGCCCAGGCAAAGCCAAGTTGTGAACCAAGGCTGGCTGCTCCTAGTGCTGGGCCTGGGGCCACTTAGTGAGAGGTATGGGGTTCACTAAAGCCAGATGCTTTTTTGAGAGAATTTAGGAAAATCTGAAACAGGAGCCAAGACAGGCCAATCCTAAGATAAAGCCACTGGAAACAGCTTGGGTGGGCCTGAAAGTTGGGTGGGGCAGGGCTTCAGGGAATCACCAGGCAGGGCAAACAGTGTGAGCCAGGTGCTGGAGTCCCAGATATGGTGTCCGTCTGCCTGCCCCATGGGGCAAGGGCTCACCAAAGGAACAA